ATTCCTGCTAGTTTCTGGCCGTTTCATTTTCGTGGCCAGGATACCTTCAGTCAGGAGAAATGAGCATGTTAGAGTCTGAATACAGGATGGAGTCCAGACACCATTGAACTCCTGTCCCTGCTCCATCAGCCTCAGTCTGTCTGGTTTGGTGCTAGTCCCTTAATTTCACCGTGACAGTTACCCTCTCTGAAACATAGGACTAATATTGCCCATACTTTTTATGATTAATTCAGCACATGCAAGATAAATCGTGCTCCTAGCAGTTCATGAGCCTAGACCTGTAATGCTACAGCCAAAAATGAATGTAGTTTTCTGCCTGTGAAGTAGCCCGTGTTTGCAATTATTGAATGCTATTTGACAGCAGGAACTACTGCTCATAAAGTTTCCAGTGACATGAATGACCTTGTATAGTATAGTATATCATGAATCTCAGAGATTTGAACTCTAAATTCTCAAGAGGTTCTGAAAATCAAATACTATCAAGAAAGCAATGTCTGTATTAATTTGATGTCATCAGATCTTTCTCAATCTTATCTCTACTATAAGCTCATCTACTCTGTTTATAAAGTGGCAGTCAGAATACCATCTGCTATTCAAATAGAGAGACAGAGCCTCAGCTGTGTGGATAGTCAGAGTTGTATTACAGTCAAGGAGCTAAGACAATTTATGGGGTCTGTTTTGCAAAGTGTAATATCGAATTGATTTCCTATTTGCAATCATCAATGAATGCAGCATTCCACTTGCACGGGATTTTAAATTGAAATAATGTATCTTCATTAAGGAAATGCAAAGCCTGTTCAACCTCTTGGAAAGATTTATGTTATGAAGCAGCAGAAGCTGCCCTATATGCATTGCTTCCCATCAAAAAATCACCTCACCTTTGCGGTCTCCCAGATACCTCATTCTTTCTGAAGTTCCTCACATCAGAGATTCTGAGGGAACATAGTTTTAAAAAATTGGAAGAGAAGTTTGGAAGTCCTAATGTTAGGAAATTTTGTCAGAAACTTTACCCAGACTTTCTTACTGCTATTTCAAAAGTGACTCAGACTAAAAATACCCATTTAATTTTCATCGACTGTGCTTTATATTGTAACAATGCACAGAAGTATTATCGAGGAAATAGCAGGAGAGGGTATTTCACCTTTTTGCAAATATGCCCTGTCTTATGTGAGGCTAGGGAAACACTGAGATAGCACTGGGATAATTTGCTAGGAGATTATGGAACCTCCTTGATGATTTTTCAGAATGAATTTGAAAAACATCTGTCAGATGTGGAGACATCTGCTTTTCCCTTGGGCAGGAGAAATGCTAACTAACTTCACAAGGTCTCTCTTCTTCAAAAGAGGTAGTGTCTTCTCTGTCATTCTGTGATCATTCAGAAACCAGTTATTTAGGTTAAATATGGTTTTCCTGGGAGCACATAAATTTTTCTATACTGAAATATCCTCTGCTGTACCACATCCATATGACTTTCTCTCCAACATTTCCCACTACTGTCTGCCTTAGTGGAAAGTGCAGCATATCTCATCATGAATAATCAGAGAATATCCTGGCTAGAGGAAAAGATTTTTCTGGCTGCAAGCAGTTACAAATTCTAAGCAAAGACACTGACTTGCAGCTTAAAAATTGAGCTTGGGCTATGGATGTTCATTAGCCATAAAGCTACTGGTCTTGAGCTTATTTTGCAGAAGTGATTTAAATAGGTTACCAATGCGCAATATAAAACCAAAATATTTCCTTTTATAGTTCTCAGTCTGCTAGGTTGCTTTTCCATTTTCTTATTCAAATGTTATACGTGAGACAGTGTGGACTCAGGAATGCTGGTGATGGAGACCTCACAGGTGTCCAACTAACCAAATACTGACTTCAGGCCATCATTCACTACTTAATATACTTCCATCATTGCTTGTGATCCAAAGCAAAACAAAGTTAAATGGGCTTTTTATCAGCCCTATCTTTATCTTCACCATAAAATAAGCAGTCTTCCTATCTACTTTCTATCTACCAAAAGATGCATTTCATGTCTCCAGACATTTTCTTCACAACTTATTACAGTTTCCAGCATTTTGCACTAACTCATAAAGATCATTGTGGCAATTTTCTTTTTGCTTCAGCCTTGTTGTTGCCTCAGTGCTCTGTTTCCAAACCTGCCTCCACAGGTTTCTCCACAGCTTGTGAGTGCCTTTAACATAGAGTCTCAATCTGCAAGCGGGCTGGCTTGTTGGCTACTGCCTCAGGGACTTGTGACAGTGAAAGTAAATAGATTGACACATTTTGAAAGGGTTTAATAAACAATGACTCTGGTGGCAGGTGGCAAAAGAAATGTTACATACGAGCCTGAACCCTAAAAGATCCCAGTACTGGTCTCCTGATCAGCCCACTGGTTCAAGCTCCTACCAGGAAAACCTGTCTAGTGCTCAACTTCTTATAGCAGGTGTGTGAATCTCTGATTTTTGATTGGTTTTCTGTCTGTCCAACAGAAAAGTGATAGAAAGGGGGAAAAATCGTAAGCTTCTGAAACTTGTGGCCACGCTCTAGGGGCTGAAATCCTGCACATCTGCCTCGAAGTGGCAACCCCTCGCCTTCCTGGGCAGACATGGTCCGAAAGGGAGGGCTGTCCAGCCACGTTTCACGTGTTGTGTTGTACCCTCTCTCTGTGCCACTCACTGTCCATCATTTTCTGCAGATCCTGCCGGGCGAGAGGCACAGAGGGATCAGCTGGCAGAGAGGCAGGCTGACACCTTTCTGCCACAAGTCAAACAAATCTAAGCTCTACCCCTCCCTGGTATGTGACAACGCAACCCTGCTATTGGCATTTAACAGCCCCCCAGTACTAAATGGATTGCAAACATTGGTGGTGTGTCCCAGTGGGGCAGTAGGACAGGGCTGACTATTTGGCCTGATGCCAATGAAAACCAAACACCTTCACTGACTCTCAGCTGAAAATCTGGCTGACCTATACACTGGCTGACAGTTTATGATGGCTTTGTATTCTTTTTTCTAAAATGAACTTTTTTGCACAAGCCAATTGCTCCTCATTGTGATTTTTTTAATATTCTACAAGAGATGTATAATATGTCAATGTCAAATATAGTTTATTCTACACAGACCTTCTATATTGATTTCTGTTTCTTGAAAATTCCTTTATACTTTATATCATTTGTAGAAACTCATAATGTGCAGGGAAACAGAAAGTTGTACATCTTTGGAACTGAAAAATCTTCATAAAAGGTATCAGGAATTGGGGAAGAAAATATCCTTTACGTATTCAATTGAGAAAAACATCTGGAAAGTGGCAAGAGA